TCAGAAAGTTTAATACATTTCTTTGTGTTTGTTTCTATATTCCTACCTTATCCTTTGGCGGATGAATAGCACTGGCAGTTGTAGGGAGTGGACTGTAGTACTAAAATTAGCTGTAGTAGTACTTCCCATGCATGCCAATCAAACTGGTTGGTTTTGTATAGGGAAGCATTTGCTGATTCTTGTAAATTAAATTTCAGTAGACAGTCTGGTTATTTTTCTATTCTGTGCAGGACAAATTAAATTGTATATGCTGATTCTTACTGCCAAGGACCGAAGAGTGGTTTCCTATTTAAACAAGTCAGGATTCCCTCCCCGCCACTTTTACTGCAAAAAATGGGCTTTATTTTTTCAGAACAGTGTTAGTTCTAGAGCAGTCTTTACCTTTCTAGATGCTATCCAAACTGAGTGTTGAGTGAGACGCAGGCTGGGTTGGTTTGGAGAGATGATGGGGGCCTGGGTGAGGCCTGGGGCACTCTGTAGACCCGGACTTAGAACCTGGGGATCTTAGCTGTGGAGAACTATTTGGCACAGGAGGCCCAGGAAACTACCCCATTTTCAGTTTGTTTACAAAGCAAATACTGGGAGATGGAGATCATGAGTAAAGAGGAAGGGAATTAAAATTTGTATTTGTGGTCTCTCTAGACAAGGTGGAACATCTGGCAGCATTGGATCCTGATCCCCTGGAGGCAGTGATTTGTGGAGCTGAGTGGCCTCTGGCCTGTTTAGGCAGGGCACGCATGGTCCTCATTTATGGGGTCTATGTGGCTTCTATCAAAGTTGGATTTACTAACCTCCACGCTCAATGCTTTACATATTAATATATTAACTAATTTATTTCTCATTTACAACCTAACACTGATTATGCTGTTGTCCTTATTTCATACATGAGCAAACTGAGACTCAGAGATGTTAAATGTCTTGACTAAAGAGCTAGAAAGTAGCAGAATTATGATTTGAATTCTGGGATGTTAAACTCCAAAACTCTCTTTATTTTTTTTTTGTATAACATAGTGCCTTCACTATAAATGTAAACATGATTGTTTGGAGTAAAACTCAATTTCACTTTTAAAGTCATTCCATTTTATATTAATATTTAAAGTTGGAATATTTTAAAGCCGTAGGTATTAGTTTTCTGTTGCCACTGTAACAAATTACCACAAACTTAATGGCTTAAAGTGACACAGTTTATTCTCTTATAGTTCTGGATGTCAGAAGTCTAAAATGAATCTCAAGGGCTGCATTCCTTCTGGAAGCTTCAGGACAGAATCCATTTTCTTGTCTTTTCCAGCTTCTAGAGGCTACTTGCATTCCTTGCTTCCTGGTTCCTTCCTTTACCCCCAGAGTGCAGCAATCCAACCTCTGCTTTCATCGTTCCATTTCCTCCTTCTGCCTTTGACTCTTTTGCCTTATAAGGCTCCCTTGATTACACTGGGGTTACCTGAATAATCCAGAATAATCTTCCCATCGCAAGATCCTTAACTTAGTAATATCAACATTTTTTTTTTTCATGCAAGGTAACATACTTACGGATTTGAGAGATTTGGGCATGGAAGTCTTTGGGTGGCTATTATGTGGATAATGTAGCCTACCACATCATACTAGCTAGGGGTGCTCGACTGTAACTCATTTCCACACAGATAAGGTCACTTTGGAGCATCATAAACCATTAGATTCATCATTTACATATCCTCTACTGGTACCGAACATTTGTTTAAGGAAGCATTTAATGTGATATAAGTGAAGTAGAAGCCTAAGAGAGATGATTGTAATCAAAAGAGGACATTAGTAAGTTATCTTTATTTGAATCCAAAATCTGTTCCATTCTTCATTTCCATGGCAGATATAAATTAAACCATGCTCCACAGAAGATAAGAATTCTATAATCAGAAACCAACATCTGCAGATTTTACGACATTGCACCTGCATGTTTTGAAGTGAAGAACACAAAAATACCAAGCATGTATCGGAGGCTATCTTTAAACACTAATAATTTTGCTTTTTCAAGACAAAATATCTTGAATATAACAGTTATTCCTATTAAAGTCTTTGAAGACATGCTAAGTCTGCAGATTTAAATGATACTATATTTTTCTCCCTACTCAAATAGCTCCTCTGTTAAATGAAACTTCCACAAAAGAGGTTTTTATTACCAGCTATGAAAAATTTAAGCTTACAAATACACTTTGAAAAAAGTATAACAAAGATAAGAATAAACTTGTCATTCCAAACATGTGACCCTTGGTTTTACGCCATTAAGGCTATATTTTTCTGTGCAAAGAACTGTAGATTTAAACCATCACTATTATAAAGTAACTCATAGTGAAACAGAATTGTAGTGTGAATTAAATTATCTTGATAAGTCTGTGGCCTTTTTTATTTTTTGTTTTTTTGGTTTTCCCTGGAACATGTAGGTCTTATTTTTACTGTAGAATGTTTCCCTTTTCCTCAATACTTTATTTGTTAACCACATTTCAGTATATGCAATGAAGATTCTTGTTTGATTTATAGAAGGGCCTTCTCCTTTTAAAATAATTCGAAGACTAAATAATGTTCTTCTATTGTTGATAAAGAAAAGGCGAGGCCGCATTTTTTACTTATCCTCTTGGTATATGATTCTTACTATTTGTGGAAGTTTTATATATATGGACTTTTATCAGAAATAGAGCCTTATGATTATTAAATGCTATCCTCTTTCATTAACACATTATACTAAATATTTTAAAATCAGATAATCTGACAATTGAATAGCCAAGCTTAAGTTGTTAAAAGTAGTATTATTTTGCATTCATGTTGAAAAACTTATTGCAGGACATTTACTTATTTTATTTCTTTATATTCAGGTAAGTAAATGCTGACTATGTATTTGGGAGATAATGTTTTCCTATCTGCCTGGCTGAGATGAAAATGCAGAAGAAACATAGTGGTGAAAATCCCTGTTCTGTGTAAGACCAAGTAAGTATTCTCTGAATTCTAATTTGAATAGTAAAAACACAGAGCTGTTCTTAAAAAATAAGTAAAAAATAAAGTCAAGAAAACTAAAGTAAATTTTCTTCCCTTTGTTTTTTAAAAAATTATATTGTTTAAAATGGGTAGAGAAGAGGTTGTGAAAATAGACATATAAATTAATTTAGGGAAAAAAATCAACATCTTTAAAATATTATCCTCCCAAGTGGAAATATGTTATTTCTCTCCAATTATTTAAGTTTATTCTACATCTCCCTGTAAAATTCAATTATTTTCTTCACACAGATCCTTTCCTTTTCTCTTAAATAGGAATAGCCAAGTGGAATATGAGTGGGGCCATTTGTTCAGAGTAGTGCTTTTGATTGGGGGGATATGTCTTCACAGCAATTTGTTTATTTAAACCTTTTCTTGTGATTTGTTTTTTTATATACAATCTTGCTTGCAATTTTTGTGTATTTCTTATTTTTTCCTCCTTAGAGAAGGGAAATTCTGGCTAGTAAAAATTCAATTGCGCCTCAGTTCAAGTATTTGTTTTAATGCAAATAGAAAGTCATTAAAAAATCGTCATACACAGACTGTCTAATAGATGAAAGCAAAACATTTGTTCTAGTTCTACTGCAATAAATTTTTGTTTTCATTATTTAATGTAGGCACATTCTGTTCTAGTGATTCCCCTCTCACTTTTGCATTTTCTTGTTTAGGGTATAGCGTTCATACTGAGGAGAAGCAAGAGAGAAGGCCTTAAAGGGTGCCTGGGACTAGATTGAATTAGGTTCTACAAAGTCGGGTGGAGGAATTTAGATTCTGTCCTGCAGGCAATGTGGACGCGCTTGAGTTTCTTGAACAGACGTGTAAGCTAAAGCGGTAGCTAATGGAAAATCCGCTAATAGTATTTAGGCTGGATAAAAAGGAAAGAGGGCGAAATAGAGTTCTAAGCGGAAGAAACTACTTAGGCTGGGAGTAGTGCAGGCATAAGGTACTAATAAGGACCTGAACTAGGATGATATTGCTGGGATTGGAAAGGAAGGAAGAGGGTTTTAAGGTTATTATGAAAGGAGATTTGGTGACTA